CTTCTCACTTCAAACAACCATCCCCCCCCCCCCCTGTATGTCATATTCGACTCCTATCACAGTACTCATCTTACTCTTTCTGAGCCTTTGTGTCTGTTTCTTTGGCATCTGTGAAACACCCTTCTATTCCCCCTCCTGAATTCTTCTCACTTTGATGTTCCTCCTCCCCTCTGTGAAGCCCCGAAGTCAGCTAAATGGCTAATGATAATTATCAAAACGCCTGCCATTTGAAATAAATAAATATTACCTCCAGACACTAGACATCTCAAAAGAAATTCAATGAGGATCCAACGCCCAAACGTATGACAAAATAACTTTTGCCTGGAGATTTCGAATAAAGTTGATTTGGTCAGAGAAAAGCAAATCAAAATTTGCAGTTAACATTCCACAACTTGTACTCATTTGTTAAGATAATGTTTAAAGAAAATAGTTGAAAAGTTGTAGATATGCGATTTTTTTACAAATCTTTATTTTTCTTTCTCGCTTTAGTACTGTTACATTTGAACAGACCCACACAGTAGCGTGGGAAAAATTGGCATTGAGCGTATTTATTGTGCCTGCTATGCATTTGAAGTTGAGCGCACCGAATGCCGATTGTTCTATGCAGCAAAGCGACTATTTTTCACATTCCATAAGAAATTTCCCTCTCTCGCTCACGCAAGTCTGCTTTTCATGCAACACATTCTGAGCAGGAATACGTACCTGTCATAAAAGGACAATTTAATTACAGTTTGCGCACTTCGAGTAAAATGAAAAGAGAGGCTGAGATAGAGATAAGATCTATTTTTCACGTGGTCACTTACTACGCAATCTTGCTTTTAAGTCGTATTTAAATATTTTTAATATTTTTGGCAGTATTTTAGGAGTTTCGAAAGTTTCCATCGGGTTTCAACCTGCTGTTTAGCAAAACGAACCCAGGTCAATTATGCTTTAAATTTGGATAAATTGTTCATTGACCTATAAATAAAGGATAAATATTAGATTTCTCAAGAAATTTGTGAAAAAAAATCATAGGCAACCTCTAGCACCTAATAATCACCTAAATATTTAAAGCCTTTCACTTTAATGCATATTTATCTGAAACCTTTAATTTTTAATCTATATTTGAGTGATATTTTTGGGGCATGCTAATGATGCGTTATTTTTTCGTGAGTGCTGATGTTATAGATACCTTGTCACGTGTAGCACCCTTCATCATTTAGCAAGATCTTATCACAAAACAAGGATAATGGTGTGTTTATAAATGACCCTTACAGCTATTTGATAACTCAATTTTAGTCATATAAACTGTCTAACGACAATCCATCTACAATCGTCCAGGTAAAATCTTTATTTATACCTGACTTCAAATAGCAACTTTGGGTCCCTCAACTATAAGACCTTCCAAGCAAATACTCCGGTCGGATCCACAGGCAGCTCCTATCTTTACAGCCCTCAAATCCTCTATTTTTGCAGTGCACAACTCGCTAAGTTCCATTATCACAAACTACGCCGTTTCTCTTTTCCCGAATTTAACTTTGAATTAAATAATACCAGAGCAGGTCGCTTTGCATTCCTTTACGTAAAATAAAACATCAATACTTATTCTATTCAATGGAAATATACTTATTTAAAACTGATCCTTAACTATTTTTAAATATAACTTCCATTTCAACATACAATTATCAGAGTAACATTCAGGGTAAAAGTCGCCGTTTTTTCATAGTAAGAAAGTGCTATTTTTATATGCCAATAAAATTTGCTTAATCGAATTTTTGAAATGATGATTTTTTAAAATAATTTGAGTTAAGATATAAATTTTTATTTAATAAATGAATGCTACATCCTTCCCTCTGTAAAACTGGGGATTAGAAGATAGTTTTAAGGCAAGGATTGAGTGGTTCTTGGACAGAACTCCATCAGTGTCACGACAACTGTGTTGTAAGGCCGAATTTTTTGTTTAAAATGTTATATCATATTTTTCCCTAACTTTTTCCCGAAATTCCCTTTGTGTTAATGGCATTTGTGTCATGACATTTGTCGTTTCATTTGAGTTTCGAATAAAATGTCAATTCTCGGCTTCAAGAGTTGAATTGTGCTAGGTAGCTCCGTCACGGAATCGAAATAGCTACAAGAGAGACAATAGTCATGATCCCCATCTAGCTGCATAGAGTGATGGCAATTAAAATCCTATTTATCGTATTTTAATAATATATTGACGTTTTAGGCCTCTTAACCATAGTCCTTTATTTCATATCCCATTATCACAAATGTCAAATGCTTACTGGTCGACTAATTTCTGTGTATCTTTACGCAACTTAATCATTTATTTGATTTCAATTTTCTCAATGTCATCATTAAAAATGATTGTTCTGTAAGACTAATTCTTTGTTTAAAATGTTACGTCATATTTTTCCCTAATTTTTTTTCCGAAATTCCATTGTGTTGATGGAACAAACAGATAGAAATGTATTTATTTGTTCTGTAAATGTGA